GGCATAATAATGTTCAGTTGAAATCCCCTTCCTTGGTTTGGGCTCTACCTTAAGAAACAATAGGAAAACCTCCTTAGTTTTGGAACTGCAGAGATGGGCAGAACACCAATTGTGCAGCAGCCCCCCAGGTTCAAGACTGGGAGGAAGGCTGGCTCTTTTGGCCACTGTGCTTCTGAGCTCACTAAAATACAGACTTGCCTCCCCTGGCCCTCTCTCCTGCCCTGGAGCTGGAATGCTCTCCTTGGAATGCCAATGGATTTTAATTGGCTTGAAAAGTGGCCTATGATTTTGACTGAAAAGCAGGGAAATATATATATTGTTCACGGAAGGCAGCAACTTGATAGCAGCTTGAAACAGTAATAGCCCTAAAATAAAAACAAAAACACTGGCATGATAGAATAACACAAATTGAATCCCTGGTGTATTTCCATTTACAACTTCCCTTCTGGTGAAACAACTCAGTTAAAGAGCAGGTTTCAAGTGCTAAATTAATATTTTTTTAAGTACATTGAATGAATTAAATTGCTTCTAGTTACAATCTTTTATCCCAGATTTCAAGTGAGAGAGTTGTTAACCTAGCTATAAGCAGACTTAAAATAGGTGTTTCTTAAGAACCTGCTGACAGGATAAGTGCAGTGCTTCAAGTAAACCATTCTAATAGTTGGGCATTAAACATCTTATTTTACTTAAATGTGTCTATTGTGGAAAATGTCCTTTGTGAGAGAACTGAACTTTGTACCATAACCAAATTCCACTGACACCATTGTGAGTGGTATTTCACGGGACGTATATGTTCTATGCATTTGTTAATGCAGTTCTCAGTGTTTATGTGACTTTTAGACTGGTCTGGCTGTAAGTATCACGATTATAGGCTTGTGTGTATAGCTGGAAAGTATAGTATTTAGTGAATGAAGTATCTGAACTTCCACATTTCCATATTCCCTATGGCAAATCTTTTCCCCGGGGATAAAAATTGGGACTCAAGCCCAACCTCCTCCCCCATCAAATTTTTCCCCTGAAGAGACGGATTTGTGTCCTGCCTCCCCCCACAACACATACACACATCTTGCTCAATCCAGACCACCAACACCCAACCCATTTTCTCTGTTCTCCTCTGCACCCACCTTTGCAGTCCTGCTTGCCCCCCACCCTGAGTGCTCTTCACCAGTGCCACCTGTCCACGCTCCCCCTGCCCCCTCCCCTTTCTCAGCTGCCAAGGACCCCACTCAGTTGCAGCCCTGTCTACCCCCTACATTCCTCCATTCCTCGTTTCCCCCACCCCTCTCTGGTGAATCTTCCCAGTCACCCACCCACCTCCCTCCTTCACAAAGCTCCCACTCCCCCGCTTGAGCCCCCCATCTCCCTCCCAGCTACCCTTACCCATGGAAGACAGTCACCCTTCCCACTTCCCACCCTCCACATTCCAGATGTAGTCTCAATATCTGCCCCACCTGCCCACATCCACAGGCCTTTTCCTGAGCCTTCCTGATCATGGAGGTTCTTCCACCATGCCCCTCACAGCCACTATCCCCATCCACCTCGCCCGCCTGCCTGCCACTGTCACAGCACACCGACGGAGCTCCACAGTAACCATAGAGAGGGGAAGTGGGAAGTGGAGTGGCACGCCATCTTCAGCGCCTGGGCGCCCCCAGGATAACCAGAGGTAATTTCTGGAACATTCCAGGATCCAATCAGAAGCCAGGAATGTTTTTTAAAGTTTTTTTTTTGAATGTCCCAGTTAAACAGGACGGTTGCGGGGTATGCTGTGGTGGTTTAGGCAGGTGTCATTTCAGTCTTCTAAAAAATTCTTGCTTCATATACCATGTGTAACAAAGACTGCTGTGGAAGGCAAGAATTAGTCAGTTTTGTGTGCATGTTAGCTTTCCTGAAATATACCTTGTTAATTTCCACATTTCTATATTTCACATGGTTTAGTAAAGTGTCTTTTCAGTGTTTTAAAACTGGCTTCCTTTCGTTCCTTGCTATTGCAGCACTAAGTTAAGACTGCTGTGGAGGGCTGTAAGCAGTGTCCTCAAGAATCTAATGTCTTCCAAATTGGCATGGCACCTGTTCATTCTGGCTCTTTCCATACTGATGTGAAATCCACTGGCTGGTTTTCATGTACAAGCCCAATTCAAATGGGTGAGGGCTGTGCAAGACCCTTGTAGTTAGAAAGTGTGTTCTCAAAAAAATTGAGAAAAGCAAAGTTGTTGTTTTTTGAATGCTTTATTGAAATTAAAAGAAACAAAAATCCAGAAATAACAATAAAGAATTACATCAAATCACATTAAAGTCTTCTTACATCTGTAATGACTTCCCGTCACCCCAACATGCATCTACCACCTATTTCTTCAAGTGCACTTTCCGTTTTCATTTATTAATTTTCATTGATGACTTATTCTATGAGTTTCTACTGTACCACAGAGATCATTCAAGGCCTGCCATTGACGTCCTGTTATTATGATGTTCCTTAAGATATTTTTTGGACATGTCCCATTCTTTAATCAGTATGTTCTCTCAATTTCCTTGTCATTTTTGCCAGCTCAGCATATTCTAACAGTTTGCTTTGCCACTCCAGTTTGGTTGGGATTGTGTCCCCTTTCCAGTGTGTAGCGATTAATATTCTTGCAGCTACCCTGACGTACAAGAATATTTTCCTCGCCGTTTTAGGGATGTCTGAACCTAGTATACCCAAAAGGAAAGCTTCCAGCTTTTTAATAAAAGAGATCTTAAACATCTTTTTGAGCTCGTTATAAATTACCTCCCCAAATTTCTTTATTTTCTTATAGTTCCACCACATATGTAGCATTGTACCTTCCGCTTCCCCACATCTCCAACATTTACTTGAGGTATTTTTATACATTTTAGATAGTTCTAATGGTCTTAAATACCAGCGGAATTGCATTTTCATAAAATTTTCTTTTGATACATAACACACGGTAAACTTCATATAACCCAGATCTTGAGCGTATTTAACCATTACTGATTTTACCTCCTCCTCCTTGACTTCCCAGACAAGGAGGAGTCTGCATTTTAGAAAGAGTTTTTCCTTTGGAGTTAATCCATTCTTTTTCCAATCTGGAAGGCTCTGTCTCAAAACCATTTCGTTTAAATATCTCATGGAGTTGATGATGTTGTAACCAATCTTACAGATACACCCTAATTTCTACAAAACCTTTTAGTTTCAGCTGATTTTCTTCCTCTTAACAATACTTTGTATGTTGGCCAATTCCCTTTCATATTTTTCTTCTTCACTGCCAGTGCTTCAAGGGGAGAACTTTTTTGGAGTATCCATCGTTAGTGAGCCTCTTGACTGCTTTTAAGTCAATACTTCCACCCTCAAGGCCTAGGAGCAGATTTAGATGATGTCTGGCCCAGAAGGATGACTCCCAGTAAGGTAGGGGCCCTCTATATGGAAAAATGTGGAGAACAATCTCACATGGCCTCAATATCAGGTTGAGTGAGTGAGGGGGGCTTCCTCTGGCTTTTGGCTGGTTTAGAGGTATAAATTTGTATTTGTTCTGTTTACCTCCAGGGCTTGTTAAGGATGGCAAAAAGGGAGTGAGTTGCCTCCTTTCATCTGGGTTATCCAGCTTCTTGGAGATGTTTTGTAATTGTTCAAAGATTTTTTGAACTGTTTGAGCAGTCAATAGGCAGCATTCCTCCAGCAGCTCCACCTTTCTACCAATTAGTACTTGTGCCTCGATTATGGGAGTAGTAGCCTTGTCCTCATTTATCCCTAAGGATATCTCTTCAACTGTCTTTCCATGTAAAGAGTTGGGGAAAGTTTTGGGAGGAAATATGTGCTGTTTTTGAGGTAGCAGGTAATTATCTAGATTACTCTGTTTGAAGCCAGAGGGCTCTGCGTCAGTTTCTATATCAGGACACCTGAGTCTTTTGGCTCTTCTCATTACTAGATTCTTCTTAAATCAATGAGATCAGACTTCTAAATAGAGTGATAAAGTGCTAAAGTTTTCAGGTCGCAATCTCATTCAATTCTCATTCAGTCCTGGCTGGGCTGCTGCGAGGAGTTTTAAAACTGGGTCCAATTAGAGCACTCCTTTAAGGTATCCCCCCCCCCTTCTTCTCAGTTTGTTAAAACAACTGGGATGTTTGGGGGTCCACGAAGTTTGAGGTGGTGGGAAAAATTTGTGGTTTTATGAATTTGTAGTTTTTAGGGTTAAAAGCCCACTAGAAGTCCTTAAAGATCCTTGGAGTAAGTTTGTCACGAAGAGTCAACGAGAAACTGGGAGGGAGTGCCTTAATGCCCGGGAGGGAATGTCTGAGAGCCTTCGTTAAAACTTCATTAACTTCATTAAGTCCCGGCACCGAGGAGGATAAAATAAGATGTTCAAAAGCACAGCGAAGTAGTGAAAGGAAATAAAATCCAAAGGAAGGAGGAGAGCCAGCAACAAAGGCATTTAGTTAAAAGATTTCTTTGAGCTCCGATAAGAGCGTCTTACCTCGGCGCCATCTTTCCTCCTCTCCCGAGATATCCATCATGGGGTTTTGGGTTCAAGCAGATCTTTATATTTTGCCCAAACCATATGTAGAGGTTTCCTTATAACATGCTTTTGTGTACCTTGACCTTGTCAAGATCTAGATCTAAAAGGGTTTCTAGATCTAAAAAGGTTCTAGGTCAGTATTTTGTAATATACACCATTCCTGGATCCAGGAGAGACAGGCCACCTCATAGTAGAGTTTCAAATCTGGCAGGGCAAATTCCCCTCTTTCTTTAAGGTCAATTAATAGTTTATGTTTAATCCTGGGCGAAAAGCAAAGTTTTCTTACATTCATCCTCAGGACCAGTAGTAGCCTCAGCCTGGAAGCTCTAGGACCCAGTATGGGTAAGTGGTGGGAGTATTTGGCCCTTACAGCTTCCACTGAAGCTGTAAATATTAAATGCAACTTTTAGATTTAGTCAATTAGTAGTTAATCTTTAGTTAGCAATCACATTCAGTTTTTTGTTTTTGCAGCTTAAGCCTCCATTTCTTTTTCAGAAATGTCAACTAGAAGTTCAAAATACTCTAGCCTCGCCTGAGTGTAATAATTATTACCAGAAAGGGAAAACGTGAGGAATTGCTTTAAAGCTACATATTCTTTTTGCAGGTAGGCCCATTTTATTTTAAGCTTTTCTGTCACTTCCCTATTCCTAACATTGTTTGCTGTCAACCCAGGGTATATTGTGTCCGGCAGTATAGGAATAGATGGTGAAAATTGTTAAGCTGTGGGTGAACATATCAGACAACACAGCGATTCTTCAAACAGCTCTTGTTTATTCAGAGGCCAGAACAGAACTGAGCTGAAGGGTTCAGTCAGCCTGCTTATATAGAGCTCCAGTACACATAATTGTAACAAATTTCTAAAACTATCCAATCACTGAACGTCACTTTCGATCCCTTATTTGCATAACTATCTACAGTATCCCCCTGCTGGCCCAGGGTGAGAACTTCAGTACATAACAAAAATGATAAAATATATGTAGTCATTCCTTGGACACATGTCAGGTTAGTCCAGTGAGTGTAATAATAAATGGAAGGTCAGAAAATAATCACTCTCTGTTCATGGTGCCTATAGAACATTTGATCAGCTTGTGGCACCATGTTGCCTTAAATGGACATCCACACACACTCTCTATCCCAGCTGGTGCACTGGCCAGTGTCTCAGCTTGCCCAATGGCAAGTAGGCCCTCTTAAACATTAGACAGTATGTTAAAAATGTTAATGACATTTAGTAGCTTGAAAATATAGTAGAAGTTCCAATATAGTAAAATTCTCAAAGGACCATGTAATGGGAAAGTTTGTTTTGCTGGGCAGGTTGGGTCAACAAGTGCTTTCTTTTTCTTTTTTCCCTGCCAGCAAACGGTTAACGGATGGCAGCCTCGGATTGGCTGGGGTTCCAGGAGGGGGGGTTGAAAAGGAGGGGATTTGGAGAGACAGTTTTTTAGGTTGGGATAGAGGGAGAGAGAGCTGGTTCTGGGTAGAAACATCCACTCAAAAGCTACAGAAAGGAGTCTCAGAGCGTAGCATGAAGGACCGTGTGTGGTGTCCTGTAAGGAATTAACTGGGAGGCTGAGCCAGGAGAAGTGGAAGCTGTGAGGACACAGTCTACTTAGGTCTCATTCCAGTCAGGAGGGGAGAGATTCTTCTACAAAAAGAGAAGACTCCCAAACCAGTTAAGAGGGGTGTGGAGACCCCTTGGGTCTGTTACTTGGAGTACCTCAGGAGTAGGGTAGTCAAAGGGGTGTGTAATTGACAGAAAATACCACCTTGTTTAAGAAGCAAAGTATTAAGCAGCAACAGCTGTGCAACAACTGAAGTGAAATAACATAATCTGAAGTATCCTATGTTTTACCCACTTTGTGTCATAAACTTCCTTGGTTAAATAAACTTTCTCGTTTATTTGATCAAATCCTGCCTGAGACTCCAAATTATTAAGTTTTCCCTCACACAAGTCCCCCACAAGATAATCTGGGGTTGTTTGTAGGAATTCATGGCATTGGTGTTCTGTGAGGGGAGTGCACTGTATTTAAGTGAGGGCACGCCCAAGGGTGCCAGGGGCGTCGCAGACCCCAAGGTGGCCCTGTTGCATGCAAGCACGTGCTTTGAAAACCTTATTTTGTAAGGCTGCAACATTGGTCAGGGCCACCAGGTGACAGTGTTGCAATAGAATGAATGGAGTTGGCCATTTTACTTGGGTTAAAGCTGCTAACACACTCAAGGGGAGAAAGAAAAAGCCCAACTGTTTGGCCGAGGAGAGAGGGTGAGACCGGCCTGATATACGGTGCTTTCTACTCTCTCATGCAGCACCCAAAGCAAGTGAGTTGTTATACTTTTTTACTTTATGTTACTTTTACTTTTTGAATGACCCCCTTAAAGCAGGAACAGGAAGAATTGCCAGAGGCCCCCTGGACTGAGACCACAACAGGGTGAGACAATTGCAAGGGGGAGTTAACATACCAAGACATGACTAGGAGTCCTCCTGAAGCTCTCCAAAGCAAAGGAACAGACAAGAACATTTGATAACCTTCACAGCAAGGCACTGGAATTTGTAAATAAATGTAATGACAAGATTTTACAGTTGAATATGGATGAAAATCAAACATTGGAAACTCATTGGAAACAGCATTGCCAGTTAAGAAGTAAAGGATGACAAATGAGCTTATAGATGAAGGAAATTCCACAGATTCTCTAGCTGATTTTTGAGTCAATGTCTTTAACCTAATAATGGACTGCATTGTCCAGTCACCAGATTCATGCTTTTTACAGTACATAAAGTATAAAGATTTATCCTGCTTGGATCCAGCAAGATGAAGCAATAAAAGGTATTATTAAACTGCCTCCACATATCAGCAAATATAAAATTATATTGGAATTGTGTTCTTTGCTTCAAACTTTGCTATATTAAAGCTATTGCTTAATGATGGTGAGAATATGGATTCCACTTGCAACAAGTGTAAAAATTTGTAGCAATGGCCCATCATGCGTACTAAAAATTCTGACATTCAACAGACTTCATGACAAGGCATATGATCGCCTTTATGGACTTTATAAAGTCATCAGCACACGGCTTCCTGTTTCCGCCTGTGCCATGGAATGGAGGTCTCCCTCGACATTGTGGGGAGAGACAGACAGAAATTGTTAAGTTGTGGGTGAACATATCAGACGACACAGCGATTCTTCAAACAGCTCTTGTTTATTCACAGACCAGAACAGAACTGAACTGAAGGGTTCAGCCAGCCTGCTTATATAGAGCTCCACTAGAATGCAACAGTAACCATTTTCTGTAACTATCCAATCACTGAACGTGACTTTCGAACCCTTATTTGCATATGTGGACCTGAACTATCTACAGTATCCCCCTGCTGGCCCAGGGTGAGAACTTCAGTACATAACAGAAATAAACAAAGAATAATGGGCGAACTCATTTGTTGACTTCCTCTCTGGATGGGAGAGGAACGGGGTCTCACCTGTGGATTGCCCTGCGGTCTGGCACTTGCTTCCCTATGGAATGTGAGGGCAGGCAAAGGCACCGGGTGCAAGAAGCATTCTGACTGCCGTGACCCCCCTGATTCGTTCCTGGAAGCAGAGGATATCCTTCTAATTGGGCTTTAATTGTACAGGCATGTGCTAGTGTCGTAGTCCAGTGCCATAATTCCACTCTACCGGTTGGAAGTTTTCGGGAGTAGTACCCACAGGTGAAGACCACAAAAGACTGTGGGTTGGCCTGCAGTAACACTGCCCCTACTGCAACATCCAAGGCATCTGTTTCCACCACGAATAGCCCTGCTGGGTCAGGTTGCCGCGGGATGGGTTGTGAAAAGAATGCAGCTTTCATGGTGTCTAATGCCCCCTGAGCCAAACTGTCCCAGACAAACACACTTTTTCCAAAGGAGGGTGGTCAGAGGCGCTGTCACCTGAGCAAAATGCAGGATGAATGAACAATAGCAGTTTGTAAACCCCAGCAGGCACTGCACCTCCTTGTCGTTATGGTGCCGTAGTCCTGTTCTGTCAGGTATGGCAGAGCTCAGTGGAGGGAGAAGCCAGCCAAGTCTCGGGGGGGGGGGTGTGCTTGCCTGGAGGCAGAGTCTGTATACAAGGTCCAGTCCAATCCTAAGGTTAGGAGTATTTCGGTTCATGTAGTCAGACAATCCAGGGGTCTAGAAAGCTGAGGATCCAAGCTCACGAGAAGCAAGCAGCAGCAATGTCTGGTCAGGAATGACAAATGTTGTTTCCAGTAACTGACTGAGGCTGCAAACGCTGCTTAAGAAAGCTGGAGCCAGCTAGTTCTCATAAGGAGCAATAAGGCTGATCAGCAGCAAGTGGAGTCATTTTGCCTTCTTTTCCATCAGGCTGCTGCTCAGCAGGTGAAACCGACTCCTGGCCCAGGAGGCAGTAAGACGACATACAGTGAAACATCTCAGCTACAAGGATTTAAAGGTTAGAATTGAGATAAGGTTTCATTCGGTGCCAGAGATGGTGGGGAGAGGGGAGCCTACAGTTGTTTTTAAAAAGTTTTTATTCTATGTTTCTGATTTGGCAACCCTCCAAAAATACAAAAGATAATGTAAAAAGTGAGGGTGGAAGAAACTGGACATGAAATTTAACATCAAACTGGAATTGTGTGTGAGAGAGGAATGGAATGGAGAGAAAGGGGAGCATCACTCTTTAAAAAGGACTATGTTGGAATATAGACCAAAACCACCCCCACACTCTGTTATTTTATAAGGAATGCGAAGGAGACAGACAATTTGGAATGTAATCTAACTGGAAAGATAACTGACTATAAATTTTCAGCTGAAAAGAGGAAAGGAGACTGCCAGCTCTAAGGTCAGAGGTTTTCTTATTAGTCATTGACAGTTTGGAATCAGACTGCTCTTCCTAGGGTGGAAAAAAAATGGCAAGGACAGTTTATTTGTTGGAACAGAGAGATCTCTAACAAGCTCTTGAATCATGGGACGAAGTGATGCAGAGACTTTTGGATAACTCTGAGACAACTGCTTCTCCCGAGTCATGATGGGAAATATCAACAGTTGGAAGAATGAAAGACACAACACCATTTATGGTTGGGACATCATCATTGGGGGGGGGGGATACCACATGCAGGAAAGAACTATGATTCCAGACTGTGTACCCCACTTGAAACTCTATAAATTACTTAATATATTAACATGAATTGAAACCATAAGATTGTAGCTGTTGTATAAGGGATTACTATCTTGAAGGGAATGTAATTGAAATTATTAAGATTTTGGAACGCAGAAAAAAAGAGTCTGTAACCCATCAAATCTAGCACGTGAGGCGACCACTTTAACTAAATTGTATAATTCAGTATATAAATAATTGGTTTTAACAACTGTATTAATTGGATAAAATTGGCATTGTTATAATGAACCTGTTATTGGAACGATACTGGAAAATCAATAAAATATTTATTTAAAAGTATATAAAGTCATCTGCACACTATCAGTTCCTTGTCCAATGTAAGAGGACATTCTCAAAGCTAAAGATAATAAAGACATGGCTAACAAATTCACTGTCTTAGGAGAACTTGGAATCATACATGTTGCTACACATTGAAAATGGATAGTTAGATGAATTGGATGCAGAAGCAATTACTGACAGATTCGCACAGTCATCTAGTGAATTCAAACGGTAGCTCTGAATGTAGTGGACCGCATGAAATATGCTTTAGAACTACCTGTGAATGTGTAAAATATTCAGTACAAGCAAACTATTTAAAAATAATTATTAAAAAATTCAATTATAACAATCTACCGTATTTTTCGCCCTATAGGACACAATTTTTCCCCTCCAAAAATGAAGGGGAAATGTGTGTGCGTCCTATGGGGCGAATGCAGGCTTTCGCTGAAGCCTGGAGAGCGAGAGGGGTTGGTGCGCACCGACCCCTCTCGCTCTCCAGGCTTCAGGAGAGCCCCACCGCCAGCCCCACAAGCTCGGGGGACAGCGGGAGGCGCAGCGCGCCATTCCTGCTGTCCCCCGACTTGGTTAGAAGGCTGGCGGGGGGGGGGAGAAGCCTGCTCCTCCCCATCGCCAGCCCTGCAAACTCGGGGGACAGCGGGAGGCGCAGCGCGCCTTTCCCGCTGTCCCCTGAGTTGGTTAGAAGGCTGGCGGGGGGGGGGGAGAAGCCTGCTCCTCCCCTCCTCCAGCCCTGCAAGCTCCCAGAGTGATGCCACGGCTTGCAGGCGGCAGCCGACAGCGCGGAGCACGGGGCGCCCTCCGTAGGACGCCCCACGCTTCAGGCAGCTGTCCGCAAGCCTTGCGCGCCCGGGGGAACTCGCCCCGGGCGTGCACGGCTTGCGGGCGGCAGCCTGCAGCGCGGAGCACAGGGCGCCCTTCGGAGGACGCCCTGTGCTTCACGCAGCTGTCCGCAAGCCTTGCGCACCCAGGAGATCTCCCCCCGGCGCGCAAGGCTTGCGGGCGGCAGCCTGCAGCGCGGAGCACGGGGCGCCCTTTGGAGGACGCCCTGTGCTTCACGCAGCTGTCCGCAAGCCTTGCGCACCCAGGAGATCTCCCCCCGGCGCGCAAGGCTTGCGGGCGGCAGCCTGCAGCGCGGAGCATGGGGCGCCCTTCGGAGGACGCCCTGTGCTTCGCGCAGGTGTCCGCAAGCCTTGCGCGCCCGGGGGAACTCCCCCCCGGGCGTTCACGGCTTGCGGGCAGCAGCCGGCAGCGCGGAGCACGGGGCACCCTCCGTAGGACGCCCCGTGCTTCACCCAAGTGTCCGCAAGCCTTGCGCGCCCAGAGGAACTCCCCCCGGGCGCGCAAGGCTTGCGGGTGGCAGCCTGCAGCGCGGAGCACGGGGCGCCCTCCGTAGGACGCCCCGTGCTTCGCGCAGGTGTCCGCAGCCTGCCGCCCCGCGTGCGCCGGGCAGACATCGGCCACCCCCACAAGCTCGGGGGACAGCGGGGAGGCGCAGCGCCACCATCCCACTATCCCCCTACCTGGTTTTGGGGGGGAAATAAAGGAAAAATTTTTTCCTTTATTCCCCCCCCAAAAAATTGGTGCGTCCTATGGGACGGAGCGTCCTATGGGACGAAAAATACGGTATGTTTATATTTAGGTAAAGGTAAAGGGACCCCTGACCATTAGGTTCAGTCGTGACCGACTCTGGGGTTGCGGCACTCATCTCGCTTTATTGGCTGAGGGAGCCGGCGTACAGCTTCCTGGTCATGTGGCCAGCATGACTAAGCTGCTTCTGGTGAACCAGAGCAGCGCACGGAAACCCCGTTTACCTTCCCACTGGAGTGGTACCTATTTATCTACTTCCACTGTGTGCTTTCAAACTGCTAGGTGGGCAGGAGCAGGGACCGAGCAACGGGAGCTCACCCTGTCACGGGGATTCGAACTGCCGACCTTTTGATCAGCAAGTCCTAGGCTCTGTGGTTTAACCCACAGCGCCACCCGCGCCCCTTATCTTTATATTTAGTATCTACTTTATACTGCCAGCAATATGTACAATATATGTACACTGTAATTACTAAAAGCATACATTTATACATTTATTTCACACAAAAATTAGTTGTGCCTTTTTCCACTTATGTATTTTTTGAAACTTTTATTTATTTCTTATAAAAATTAAATGATAGCCTTATAGTCCTTCAGGGTCCCCTTGTACTTGACTTTCTCAGCATTTTCATGTGCTCCATCCACATAGTGCTTCATCTCAGTACGAGCAGAACTTTCCAGTGAACAGGTGCAGTCACTCTCCAGTATACAGGCGATGGAAGCCGTGCTAAAGAACGCTACTTTGCCATTAGAATAGGCTGCTGTCCTTAGAGAGGGTGGGGCAAATGCCCCTTTTGTGCAGAAAGATATCCTTCACTAAGAGCTCCCAAGGTGACGTACAGTAAAAGAAATCTAAAAGCATTGCTTCTTCTTCAGTAATCCTAGCACCATTATGCTGGAGTCACATGTAAGGATATTAAAAAATAAAGATATTGATAGAAAAGGCCTTTCAGAAAAAAGGCTCGTGGAGTCTGCTGCAATCAAGAACAATGCTCTAAATGTTCCTTTCCCCAAGCCATAGAAGATGGTATCACTTTTCTCCATTTTGTATCAACATTTGGTTTTCTGTTATAAACATTGGCTTCAATATTTGGCTTTCTATTATTTGTGTTTCTTTCTAATAGCATTATAAGCCACAGCCACTAAGAAGGCCGGGCTTGCCCCCCCCCCATATGCTCCTTGCTCCTGGAACAATGCTTTTAGGCTTGCCACTACTGTGTGATGCTGGGCGTCATGTGGTGGGCACATGATGTGCCCTATGAGCACTGCAGAAGCCAGTCTTCATTCAGATGGAGAGCTAGAGGTAAGAATATGGCTGCGTAATGACACAGATGTATGGGGTTCTTGTAGGCAAAGGCATTACGCTGCGAGACGGAGAGACCTTGTGATCCCTCTAGCTAGCAGACTATATATAAACCTGCAGTCAGCTATTTTCAGGGTAGTCTTATTTGGTGAAGGGAAAGTAATAAAGATGGGTGAACAGAAATCTCATCTAAATTCTTATGGTGCATACATAAAATTATTGAACAAATTCTAAAGTGTCTCGTTTTTAGAGTGAATGCTTGCTGAATTTTATAATTGTCGGGGGAAATGCTGCTTACCCTTAGTGTATTTCATGAATTTCTAAAGTCTCCAAAATGTTTCGAGACAGTTGTTGCTGTTTAATATTGGAAATCTAAAAGTTTCTTCCACCATGTATATTCTAATTACATGAAAAAATGATATCAAAATGACTTTTACTGATGCTTTCTATTTTGGTTGGATTAAGCACTGCTTTTGCAAACTTTTTTCCATTGCGAAGCTACATTGGTCTGAACTAACAAATAAGCAGGGGTGATAGCAGTGTTATGAGAATAAGTAAAGATCAGGAAATAAATAGTCTATAAATAGGTAGCTTTTATTGCACAGTATGAAGCTTAATTGTTATAGACAAGTGCTGCTGATCCTAATCTGTACTTGCCCTAATTACAGCAGGTGCTGCAATATGTTTTGTTATAATCAATGTTTTTGTTGAAGCTGGAGGTGTTTGTTTCTCCAAATCTGATAAGCCAATCATTTCCTGATCTAGAAAAGATAACAAATTACTGAGCCCTGAATTTAACACACGCCAAGCGCTAGCACCTTCTTTATTAAGGTATTACTTGGTTACGAAGCGAGTTTGATGATCAGAGATCTTTGCTGATACTAATTACAGCTCTAGAAAGAAACACAAATTGCAGGTTGCTGAGACTAGATCTGAAAATACCATTTTCACACATGGCAGTACCTTTGCATTTTCTGTGCTGTTTGTGTTGAGTGTGAGTCTTAAGCATGCAACTGAGGCAATTTTAAAGCTAGGTTGTAGTCTAGCCATTGTAGGTATCATGTCTGCATTACACTACTGGTTTTGGCGAATTATTTTGTTGTTATGAATT